GCAGACATTGTAATCACCATTGTATTTGAAAGATGAAAACAAGGAAAAGGAATTCAGCTTCCCTTCCTCTGAGTCCTCCTCATTCAAAACTCAAACCACAGGGGTGGCAATGGGAGGGGAGTGAGGAAGGGAAAAACAAATACTCAAGTGGCTTCTACAACCAAACCCTCCATGATTTCAAAGCAGACTCTATGCGCAACACTAACATGCTGCAGGATGACCACAGGAAAGCACAGCTTCAGAGGAGTTAGTGCATTGCCACCAATGTCTTGCACACTGCCATTTGCTTAAGGACACCCTTAAAAAAGATGAATATAAGAATTTGGGAGACCCAAACTTAAAATTACACAAGAGTGGATGTGAAAAGAATGAAGTTTTTCACAGCTAGCACGTCCTCATCTACATAACAAAAACCAAAAAAACTAAAGTAAGTGATGAAGGAGGGCCTGTAATTCAGAACAAGAATAGATAGTTTAACAGTTACTTTTTTTCACTTACAGAGCTTTCTGGAAAAATTAAACTCAAGTTCCCAATAAGCACTTTATTCAATGGGACAGGGGGGAGTCTCAATCTCAATTACATCCCAGATTAAAAAAAAACCCTGGAAGTTGACAAGAAGTAGTTTCAACATCCTATTTTGTATTTAATTAAGGATGTCCTTTTCTCCAGCTGCATCCAACTGTAGAATTTCTAGTTCAACTGTAGAACTACCTGAACTGTAAAGTTCAAGAAATTGATACAGCAAACATGAATTGCTATCAGAGGTGCTTCTACTTGAGGAAGCACTTTTTTTTCCAAAGGAAAAGAAGAAACACTGAAAGCCTTGAAATCCAGGCATCCTTCCCAGTTTCATCTGTTGGTATTCAACATCTACCATCGAGCAAAGAGGATCCAAACTCATCCACCCAGTCTGCTGCTATACAAGCTCCTACACCTCTCTGTTGCAATAAATGCACTCTACAGCCAGCACTGCTCTGCCAGGAAGCCCTCACAGCTTACACAATCTACTACATGGATTGCAAACATAAAGGTTCACATACTGTTCAAAAGGAAAATTATTTCCACAGGGCAGTGTCTCTGACAATTAAATCCACAGCATTTTTTTCCCCCTATTTTGAGCTAAGCTACATGTTCCTTATACACACTTGGATAAAGCCCACAAGTTTTACATGGAAAGCCCACGAGTCAAGTAGCTCCAGACCATAACATCATCTGGGATCTTAAGCCCTATGAGAATCATTGTCAAGTTCAGTTACAACCTGTCCTGCCTTTCCTATAGACAGATATTGAAAGCTTTATACAGCACTTGCCTCCCTCTGAAAGAAAGGTATAATCCATTATCTTTCTCCATTTTAGGAAATTAAACCGTTCTCACTTCCACAAAAATTCATCACAGCACACCAACAAACTAAAACCCAAGCTTGAGTCCCTGCACCTCCCCATCAGCAGTAAAAGCTCCTAATGTTTGTTCTCCCAAAGGCCCTTTAAAGTCACTCATGGCACAAAGGTTGTCCTCAGGCAATGCTGCTACACACATTTTGGTGAAAGACTCGGCTCTTCCTCCAAGAGAACTTCTGATTTCACCTGTTACAGGGTTTGAACTAATTTTTAAAAGTTAAAACTTAGTTTGTTGTATTGTTTTGCTAGTTATTAAGCATAATACCCAGCTTTAGAAATATTTTTCAAGCACTTCAAACTAAAAAACCATCTGGGAAGGGATGGAAAATGAACATCAGTTTCGCAACACCACAGTGTTAATATGAACTGTGTAATTATAGATAAGCCTTTTAACTGATGTTAACAAAGTCATTCTTGAAACAGAAAAATTTAGAGACTTCCTACGTTACTTTCACACAACAGATGTGCAGTTCATCTATTTAGGTTTAGAAGGATGAAAGAGCCATACAACTATGCCTGAAATGACAAAATCCAACTCAAAACTGATTGTCAGATAGTAGCATAACGCCCAGTGGAAAATACAGATTTATGACAAGGTTACAAAGCTGTCTTTAAGCTTAAGTCAACTACTTATGCCACAAATGTATACTCCAAAAATAGTTTCACACCGCCCTGAAAATACTACTGCTATTTAAGCAAGTTCCTGCTCAAACAATGGACACAGCAAAAGACAAGCACTAGATGCTACCACATGATTAAGAAATCTAAAAGAATGCTATGCTGATTATAAAAGCATAAAATAAAGTTGTGCTGGTTTGGGATAGGTTTTTTGTTTGGTTGGGGTTTTTTTTAAACGTTTGGAGTTTAAGTCTACTTACAGATTTCTGTTCTGATGCAATACACATTAAGGAATTCCTTTTTTTTTTTTTCCTAAGTTTTGAAAACAGCAGTCAATTATTTTTAACATAAGAACTTCAACATAAGTAAGGAGCATCTGTATAACAATTCACAAACAAGAGTAAATAAAGCCTAAGATGACTGAAAAGGTTTATCACTTTCAACAAAATATTCATTTCATTAACCTATTTTACTGGATTACTTTGAAGAGGTTTAAATTATTCAGAGACCTAACTATTAGCAAAAGGAATAGTCTAAATGTTTGAATGGAGATCCAGCTGAACACTTCAGCTGGTCCTACTCAAGTCCTCAAAACTCTGCAAGAAGCTCCAAGTCCTTGACTATGATTTCTTAGAGCAAAATCCTATTTACTGCTCCTGTGTAATTTTAACTCATGAAAAAAAAATATTTCAGGCAAAAAAAGCACTATCATTGGTAAATGTTTCACAAAACAGAAGGGTATAACTGGGTACAGGTTCCTGGATTCCAGATACCATACTTAATACCTGCTATCCCTCCTCCTGGAAGAGCTGCTTTCAAATAGAGACTAAGAGAACTCATACATTTTCATTAACTAGAGGACCAGGAAGCTCAAAGTTCTATTTCCACGAAATATATCGTGACAGTAGGAAAGAGATCCAAAAATACATGACACTATCTTAAGTGAATCTGAATGAATGTTATAGCTTAAGCGAAACTGCCTTTGCTCCCCACAAAAGGCTCTTTATCTGCTAAGGAAACCACATTTCTGGAGGCATTTAAAAGGCTACAGAGGACCAAATACTAGAAAAATATATATTGTGGGAAGTAATCATGCACTAACAGAGAATGAGACAGGATGACTTAAGACATCTTTCCTCACCCATGATTTCCCCAACTGGTTTTTACAGATTGATAGCACAAACTTCGAGTCAAACTGCTGTATAGTATTTTTATTTAATTTGAGGATATGGGAGGTTTAATCACACTACACAGCAGATGCGTACTGCTCAACTTCAGAGAAGCAGATTTAACATACAGTTCAAATCAAAACACTTGGAAATTTCCTAGGACATCTGCTACCCAGAGACAGGTGCAGAGCTCAGTAATTTCTGAGCTGTTTCACAATCACGGTGGTGCTGGTGCTGTCACTAGCCATCACTGAAGTTAGCTCAAGAAGTCCCTCCCTTTTGTAAATGCCACAAGAACAGACATCTCAAGAAACTGCTCCAGCCTTCCACCTACCCGTTCCTCTCTAAAGAAAACTTCTTCCTGATCTTAGCAATTTTCTGGATTCTTAACTGATTTCCAATGAACAAATAAAATAGCCTGACCAATCTCCAGCTGACTCGCACTTCATTGCTCAAAATCCTGCAGGCAAAGCAGTAGTTCGCTTTCACTCTGCTGATGTTTAGAAAACCTACAAGTATCTTACTGTATTCATTTCCATTCAGACATCTGTCCTACAAGACATAAGGTTACCCTTAAAGAAAAAAGAAACCCCACACACTTTGGAAATATTGAAGTCTTTAGCCTCTTACATGTAGGGGTACACTATACAGGCAAACAGAAACATTTTTCTTGAGGTCCACTGCTGACAATTTCTTTTCAGCTATAAATTATGTTTGTGCCTAGAAGTGGACTTAAACTACTGCCTTATTTAGCTGGACAATTTTGATACGATTTTTGACACAATCATGATATTTAAAATACAAATGATGTTACCTCTTGCTTTCTCAGTTTATGATCACTTACAGAAATTATTACCAGGGGAAAAAAAAATTCCCAGAACTGTTTTTCAAAGCAAAGGTAGGCCAGGATTAGTTTTATTTTTCAAATGCTAAGTTAAAAGCTCCCCTGGGAATAGGTATTAAAATTTCAAACAAGAACTAAAATTCTGTCCCTGGCTGAACTGCTTCATTCATAGTAGTTCTTTTTGGTCCTTCAGCTAATACAAAGGGAAAACCACCAGTGTTGTATATTTACATCTGCTACCATTTTATTGATCCCAATCCAACCCAGCCCAATCCTTCTCCACATATTACTCATCTGTATTGTATTTTCCACAAGCCATATTCCAAAGGCCAAGGGCACCAAGGGTGCCCTGCAGCAGAAGATACTCTCACACACAGTGCAAGGACATCTACCATCTATTTCATCAATGCACCACTGAATTGCAGTGTGCATCCACAGGTAGGGGGAAAAAAAACCACCAAAACAATCAGGCCTACACACTGACCAAGAGATGCTGTAGTACACCTCGCAAGTGTACCACAAGAGCTTAAGTGATTAAAACCTGCAATCGTATTAAAGATCTTCCCCAAATCACACCACACTGGCGTGCAGGGCAGAGAACAGCCTTTGCTGACTCCGCTGCATCCACAAGCAGGAATTACATCTACCCCAAATAACCTGTTTGTTCCCATTTTGACAGGAGGTTACAAGCTTTACATAAGCATCTCAAGCTATTTAAAGAAACATGGTTACTATTTACAGCACACAATCTGAATGAACTGCATGAGCCAGTACTTAACCTACTTTAGCCAGTGCAGCCCTGACTCACAGGACAGCCTGACTGTTTTGTGAGGGACTCTGTACCACTTATCTTGCACATGCTAAAACAGCAGCCTGGGAGAAAGCCTAACACTGAGAGAACAGCTACTTCACTACACTGCTCACAGGCAGGAAAACAGTCCTTGCCATGTCCATTCTTGGGTTCTACTTACAGCAGTAACACCGATTGTACAGCTCAGGAACATTAATCCACTTTGCTGTAGCATAATCAAAGTGAACACATTTACTGTAACTATGCCTAACAGGGCATAACTCAAAATCTTCTGGACAATAAGAATTCTAGGAATCCAAGGAGAATGCTTCAGAGCTTATTTTGCTTAAACTTAGTGAGGTCACAGTGTGGTTAATTCATAAACCCGTCGACATACTGACCATTACAATAACCTCAAGGGGCAAAAACCCCAAAATCAATGCCTGAGAGTTCTCAGATTGCAACCACAAGTTTTGTTACTCTGATTTAGTTACTTATCTAAAATAATTAGTATTACAGCTCACCCTTGCATCTATTCACATTGGCTTCTGCAAACTGGCCCACACAAAGGAAAACTCAATTAAGTAGATGCAGAGATTGGAGAAGAGAGATCAGGAGTTACACCAAGAAAATCTCTGCAGGAGAAGCAGCACTCATCTGACCCAAGTTCAGTCACAGCACTGCTGATGTGTTCTGCCCTTTATTAAGTACTGCCACCTCATCAAACCCTTCAGGGAAACATATCCAGCCCCAACATTCCCAACATTTTAAAACTGCCATGGAAATCACTATCAGCTAGTTCCTCTGTTTATTCTCACATGTAAGTGATACTTATTTTGCTGTTTTGGTCTAAGTTGACATATTTGACTTATGTGTTCACACTCATTTCGTTAAGAAACCTTTCTTAATATACAGAGGCATTACATCACAGTGAGCTGCAGCATGAAGTCAATAATCATAAAGCAGAGATAATTTTAGTTAAATTTACTTCAAAAATCAAAGTTATACAAGTGTTTTGCCTATTCAAGACCTTAAACTTCAGGAAAGATAATAAACCAAGCATTCAGGTATTTGCAGGATATGATGAACTGTTTACAAAAATTAAACTCTTGTGTAACACTGTGAAGGTCCAAGATGTGGGGTTAAAAAAGAGCAAACCATCAATAGAAAAGAGCTCTACGAGTAGATGTCAGAGTCTAAACCACCAATGCACACTCTGAAGCCCTCAAGATGCACAGTGGCAGGAGCCAGGCCATGCTGGAGGAAGTATCACATTGCACATTCATTGTTCCTGCATCCCTCAAAGCAGCTGTTCTGGTTGGGCAGGGTGCCAGCTACAGCTTTGGCCTGACCTGGTGTGGCACTCAGGATCTGCCTCAGCACCAAGAAAATCCACTCCTATAAAATCCAGATGACTTTAAACCATTTCTAAGAAGAGAAGCCCCCTGTGCTAGGAAATCACAACTTTGGTCCCTGAGTTCCTTCACTGTTTAGAGACACTTAAAACTTATTACTGTGTTGTCTAACCTAGTCTAATGCTAATTAATGCATGAGATGCCGTAATATCGAACAGTTGAAACTATTACTTACGTGGTTAAAGCCAGGTACTTAGTATTAACTATTTAAACAGACCACTTCAGATAACATGCTACTGTAGTTTGGGATTTTTAAGTATGATACCAGGATTATTACTTTTTGGAACCCCATGCCACCACATTGGGGGTGGAGTAGCACAAGAATGTTAAACACCAGGAAGGCTTCAAACTACAGTGTGCTGTTTGATCTGAAACAGAATTAAATCTCACTGCCACAGTAGGACTTGCTTACACACTGAAAAACATGTGCAACCTCTTGGCTGTTCCTTACTTGTCGCACCTCAGGATCAACTGACATAATTCATGAAGCAGAATGTTGGAAAAGGCTCAGCAGTTTCCACTTCAGTAGAGAAACATTTCTGTCCTTGTACTGCAGTTACCAGCCTAAACACCACCTTTGCTCATTCTGTGGCAGCCTCTGAGATGGAGCATATTAGCAGGAGAGCACAAGCCCCAAGAGGTCCTTTGCCACACAGTCATCTTCAAATTCCAGGGTGATGGGATGTGCCTGCACTCCTCACTGGAGCAGCTTCTTATTTGGGTGCTCTACAACTCACACAGCTCTTCTTGCTCACATAACTGAATAGAGAAAGTAATTTTGAGCCCTTAGGGGCTGAAAACAGCTATCATATTTTGTTATCTTTTCCTACAGTCTTTTCTACTTTGTTTTTACAGCTGTCTTCGTGTTCTAGAAGGTCTGATGTTTCACGAGTTTGTATTTTCAGCTTCTAGTCCAGAAAAAGATCCTTCCAGAATTTAGCACTATGTGACAGCTAAGCAGTGGTGTACAGCAGTCTGCCTGATCATTTCATTCTATTTCTACCTACATGAATCACACTCTTTACTGGATATTAATGCAGCATTGTACATGAGAACTGAAGATATGGTATATTCCTTCCCATGAGGGCATGAGAAACCTAAAACAGAGGGGGAATGAAGTGTGAAAGTCTGTGGATGAATAAAACAAAATCAAAGCACATAGAAATAAACAGTTTATGGTGTTAAGAGCTGCCTGGTTTCTTTCTTTCTTTTGAATAAAGGCACAAATTAGAATATTAAAGAGGAAGGAGCAAGCCAAGAACAAGCACATAAATAAAGGAAAGGTAGGGATAGATTAATAATCTGAATTTTCTCACCTATGAATTCTAAGATTAAAAACGAATGACAATGGAAACTTTGCTTCCAGAATTAGACTTTCGATTTTCTAGCACTACAATTTACCAAATAAGTAGGGACTGAAGTAGATCACCAAGTTCAGAACTCAGCTAGTAGAAAAACCCTGTTCAATAATGCAAAAAAACCCAAAACAAACAATAACCAACACCAAAACACAAACAATAACAAGAAAATATAACACATCAAACCAAAAAACACCTTTCATCCCCTTCTGCCTCTAAAGCTTCATCCAACCACAGCTATTCAAGATCTTCATTTAGATACAACAGCCCTTGCTTCAGGTTAAAGTAAATAAATCATTAATTCTGATAAATGTTGATTTGAGAGAACTCCTTGTTGAAAAGCCTTAAGCAACTTTGAGCCCTCAGGACTCCAGAGCACTGGCAGAAATGTCTGCAGCCCCAAAACTTTGCTCTTCACGCAGTTGTGGCTCCAAAATATGACTGCAGAATAGAGAATTCTCCCTTCCCAGCACCTTCAGATCTATCATCAGGCATAGCTGACCCATGTTAAGTTCTCCATGAGCAATATTATCTAACTGCTGGCCTGGTTTCGAGCAACTACTTGATAAGTTGAGCTTTTTGGGAAGACTTGAGGACATCAAAATGTTTTCAGTAAAGCTCAGAACAAAAATCCTTAAAAGCGCTTGTTTCCAACAGAGGTCTTTCATAAACTGACTTAGAAGTGAATTTGAAATCACAGAAAAAGTATTTTTGGGAACAATAAGGAGCCATCAAGATACATGAAAGAAAGGTCTTGCTGAACTTCCCCTAATCTTAGTCCTGATCTTCACTGAGCTGTATGCAGATATAGGACACATCCACTTCTTGTGTGACACTTCAAAACATGCCTTCTGTAGTATTAGTTCATAATATTTTGCACAGAAGCAATTTTCGTTTAACACCACACTGTAAGTTTCAAAGCATACACATCCACCAGGATTTGGGGCATGGGGAGAAGGTAAGATATGAAGACTTCTAATGTAATGGGTAAGCAAACCATCATACTGAAAAACCCCAATATTTCTTGTAAAACAATTTTTACTTCAAATGTTTTCAGTATTTGCCTAACTTTTAAACAGGTGTTTTTATTAAAGTTTAGCATGGTTGGAAACTGATGTATCTCCAAACTATAACTTTGGCCTTTGATTAAATACACAGTAGTATCTTGATAGGAAGATTCTACTGAAACAGCTGGAAAAAACATCCATCAGGCCTTGACACTGGAAAATGAACTTTGTTGCATAAACTACTCAGCTTATCATGAAAACATCATTTCAAAATAGGCCTTATAGGAAAAAGTAGTCAAGACTGGCTGAATGTTAGTCTAATGGTACAATTCTGCAGCAAATCTAAACAGCCAAAAAGCTTCCTATAGACATGGGCTGTTATCAGGTTCTCTCCATATATACCCACACCATATGGATTACTTAGAAGGTGTAAGATCTGAGCAAATGAAACTGTTCTGCCAGTCTGAAATACTGTAAACACCTTCAGGGCCCAAAGACTGCAAGCATCGAGTCTAGAAAAAAAAAAAAAAAAAGTGGCAGGTTCTGAATTTTACATAAAGAAACCTGAATCAGACCACACAGAGAGTTGAAAGGCAAATCCGGTAATACTTCTGGTCTAGATTAGGAAACTAATCCCAGCAGTGATTAACACAGAGAAACAGGTAAGATCTGATTAGCTATCTAGTAAACTTGCATCTTAAACCAAAACTCTGAACACTGTCTACTCATACTTAGAACAGAGCTGGTTACCAACCTCATCAATAAGCAAACAGATTGTTCTGTATGGCTCGTCGACCCATCACCTACCCCCAGAGTTTCACCAAAAAAGTATTTACATTTAAAGAAAAAAATCCTTTAAGATATAAAGGAAGTTGACTCACTAAAGTACAAGAGAGGGACAGATGCCATCATACAGACTTTTAGCTAAGAGGATATAAATTAGTTAACATCAGGCAGTTCTGTCCCAATACCTTACCAATTTTCCCAGACATTTCTATGTAAAGCCTGCTAATACCAAGGTACCACAAACTGGACATTTTAGCCAGCATCCTATCCTAGTCAGCTTTTCCTTTGCACAGTGCAGGGACACTGGTGCACAACTAGGTCCTTTCCTTAAATTTTTATTGCTACTTTCGCAAACGACCTCCTCCTCCTCACTACTCTAAACATATCTATTCACACAAACTTTCCAGGTCTGGTTATCTGTTGAAGGCAGTAGGAAAATATTCACAGGTATAAGTGTTCTCTGACCACAAGACTGAATTTTATATGTTAAAACTGTAGCACTCAACTCTGTGGACACTATCTCCAAAAAAAAAAAGCTGTGTACAAGCATTTGTATTACATGCAAAGTTACAGGCATGAATTAGGTTTACTAGTTTTTGCATAAGCAGCTTTACCCTCAGGAGGGAAGCAGAATTCCGAATAACTGGGAGTAAAACACCTCTCCACTGAGCTGGAGCACCTGCAGTTACCATATCAGAACACTATTTCCAACTTGCTTATTAGCAGTTTCTTTTGTTAATCCATTTATAGGGGCTTGCTTGCTCTTATTTAGCCTTATGGAATTACTCAAACTGTAAGGGGAGGCTTAATCAAACAGATTTGAACTAAGGTTACTTAGAAATCACTGCATCTGGGAACACAGTGACATAAGTTTTTTGCTACCATGTTCTCTCCCTTCTTTGTGGCTTCCTTGATTTTTGAAAAATCAAGTCATTTTTCTTTGGCCTCTGCTTCAAGCAGCTTTTCAGAGCTCTCTGCACTCGATATCAAGTAGACTGGGCTTCAAGAACCCGGTTTTGCAAGCAAACTGTAAGTTGCTAGAGGGTATGGCAGCCTACAGCAGCCTGCTACCCTGCTGAAGGTGATATCCATCAGCACGGGGACACGAGCAGATCTGCAACAACCACAAATTAGCGCAGTTTATCTAGAAACAGCCTTCCTGCAAGAGTCCCTTGCCCACACTGAGGAAAGTAAGAGCTCACCCGTGTCATTTTAAAAAAGTCTAACGATGGCCTGTTCCATCGTACATCCTCCTCCCGTCTGCGCTTCAGCCGGCTTTTCTTTTCGTTCAGGACGCAAGGCTGAGAGCGGCACCTCAGCAGGCCCTGCCGCCGGCTGAGCTCGGGTGTGGAGGTGGGAGTGCTGTTGGCTGAAGGCAAGAGATTTCCTGTCTCGGTGATGTGCTCCTGGGAGAGGGAGAGGCGGCGCCTTGGGTTAAAGTCACAAGGGCCTCCGGAATTCCAGCGGGTACTCGAGCTCGTGCTGCCCTCGCTGCTGTCCACGAACCCGCTGCTGGCAGAGGAAGGTCTGGGTACTGGTGATGTGTTGAAGCTGGTGATAGTGAAGACGTTGTTTAGGGACAGTATGTTTTGTGGCAGGCTGATGCTTGTGCTTCTCTGTAAGGTTGCACTTCCGTGGCTGTTGCAGCGCTGCAAGGTCGCGCTGCCGCCGCTGTTACAGCGTCTCTTTGACACGGGAGTCCAAACCTTGGAACTGCCAGGCTTCCACGGTGACCGACAGCGAGCCAGCTCATCTGGCTCCGAGAGGGACCTACAGTGGCGCTTTGTTGGTGGTGCCAAGGGCTGACCCGAGTTTTCGTTAAGGTTTAATTCACTTATCCATCCTGACACCATGGATGTGTTGGAAGGTTCCTGCTGCCACTGCAGACTACCATTGCTGGCAGTGCTGGTGCTGAATGGGCACACTGGGAAAGGGTAAGCTGAATTCCTTGTTGTGTCAGTCTGGATTGGGTAACCCCCATTTAAAGCTTTCCAAGGACTCTCTTCTGAAAACAGAAAAAGATACAGGTGAAAGATGAAAAGGGAAAAAACCTATTTGTTTTAAACCTAGTTTAATGTAAAACCATCAAAGTCAGGCTTAGAAGGATGAGCCACAAATACCCAGCTCTTAAAGTTTCACACTATAATTAAGCATTCACTTCAAAAGAACTTTAGGAAACTCCAAAACCACGAAGACTGAAGTATTTCAGGAGCCACTCTGAGCATTCCAACCTATACACCTTGTTAATACTTCTCCCTGTATACTGAATGATTACAGCACTGTGTTTCTCAGAGAACAACAGGGACAGTTTCCTAGTGCACAGCACATACCACAGTTAAAACATACAACAGTGAACAGTCTCAGGTACAACCAAAAGGAATAAACAAGTAATGTGAGAACCCATCGGGGAATTTTCATTCTTATTTTTTTAATGCAAGAGCAGGGTAATCTTTTCAAACTGATGTTCTTTATTTGGCTGTTAAACTTTTCTTTTAAGAACACCTTACTAAAGAAAACTTGCAAAGGGTACTCAAATTCTGTGGTGTGAAAAGCTTTAAATTAGAAACAGTATAAAGTTAAATCAGATTGTTGCCTTCTTCCCCCCCCACTACACTTTTGATATAAGCAAAAAAAAAATAATCTTAATTCAATGCATAAAATGAGTATCCCTTAAGAACCTCCTGCAAGTTTTACTGTGAATGCAAACATAGTGCACAACTTCTCATCTGAAGTGGCAATGCTGGGTTAAAAGCAGTCTGCCAGTGCAGCCTCTCACTCTTTTGTGAAGCATTTCTTTGAGAACATTCTGCACATTTTACAGCTGTTCCTCCACATTATACAATGAAGTGTAAGAAGAACTACAGCAGACTTTGGATTTGCAAATTGAAAAGCAGCAAAACTGTTGGCCAGCTAACAGTGCTTCATGCTTGGTTAGAAAATTTGCTAATTTAAACCAATTAGCCAAGTAAGTTTCACTTATCCTGGCTTTAAAGAAAGAATATTTAAAACAGTAAGTTTTTCCCATACACCTATTTTAAGAATCTAGATACAGCCTAAACATTAAATACTAGTATATTCTTATGGTTGACTGTCTAAACTAAGTTTTAGAGTAGTTAACAGATAAAAGATTTGCTGAGTAGCTTTAAAAGTTGCAAACTCAAATAGTTGTACATGTTCCATGCCCAAAGTATGTCATGGATTATCCTGTTTATTTGGATCTTATTTAAAGAACACCCCATTGTCTCAAAATCATTTAACTGTGCAGACAGCTGGCCTATTCAAACATGTTTTATTAGAATTCCTCTGTCCTTCCTCCTCTATTCTTTCAGATGGGTACAACCACATACTGTGCTTTGCCTTAAGCATGTAAGCTCTTCAAGGCAGGGACCATCCATAATTCAATGCAAGTAAAACAGCCAACACAATGGGATCCAGCTAATGTTTGAAACTCCTAGCATCTACTGTAGGACAATTTCCTAGCTTGGACTGGCCTGATCTTTAAAAATACTTAGGAAGCTTTCTCCCAGGCCAGGAGGGAAAAAAAAAAAAAAAAAAGATGCACCTGTGTTTTAATTGTTTATGTGGTAGAAACACCTGATCATTTAGACTGGAAAAGATCTCTAAGATCAGAGTAAAACCACTAACCTCACACCACCAAGTCCACCACTAAACCATGTCCCCAGGAGCCACACCTACACATCTTTGAAGTACACTCCACCACGGCCCTGGGCAGCCTGTTCCAATGCTTGAAAACCCTTCTGGTGAAGAAATTTTTCCTAATATCCAATCTAAACCTCACTGGTGCAACTTGAGGCCATCTCCTCTTGTCCTGTCACTCGTTACCTGTGAGAAGAGACTGAACCCCACTTGGGTACAACCTCCTGAAAGGGAACTGTAGAGACAAATAAGGTCTCCCCTGAGCCTCCTTTTCTCCAGCCCCACCTCGCTCAGCTGCTCCTCATAAAATTTGTTCTCCAGAGCACAAATTTGTGTCCTCAGTCCTTTCATCCAGATAAAGATACTAAACAGAACCAGCCCCAACACTGTGCCCTAGGAGACATCGCTGATGACTGAACACCAGCTGGATGTAATTCCATTCCCCACCACTCTCTGGGCCTGGCCATTCAGACAGTTTTCTGCCCAGGGAACAGTGCACCCATCCAAGCCATGAGCAGCCAGTTTCTCCAGAAAAATGCTGTGGGAAACTGTGTCAAATGCTTTACTAAGGTCCAGGTAGACACCATCGACAGCCCTTCCCTCATCCACTGCACAGGTCACCCTGTTATACAAGGAGACCAGGTTGGTCAAACAGGCCCTATCTTTCATAAAGCCATAGTGGCTGGGCCTGTAGTTCCCCAGATCCTCCTTCAGGCCATTCATGCAGATGGGTGTCACATTTGTCAACCTCTAGTCACCCTGGACTGCTGATGGAAAGTCTCTTAGTGAGTACTTCCACCAGCTCCCTCAGTACTCCTGTGTGGATCCCATCCAGCCCCATAGACTTCTGTGTGTCTCAGTGATGTAGCAGATCACCAACCATTTCCCCTTGGATTGTGGGGGCTTCCTTCTGCTCCCCATGCCTTTCTTCCAGCTGAAGGGAGAGGCACCCAGAGAACTGGTCTTACAATAAAGACTGTGGCAAAGAGGGCATTAAGCACCTCAGCCTTGTCCTCCTCCTTTGTTCCTATATTTCTCCCCGAGAGACTCTCCTCAGCCTTCCTTTTGTTGCTGATGCATTTATAGCAGCAATTTTTAATTGGGCTTTTTGGTAGTAGCCAGATTAAGTTCTTTTTGGAAGCTGGCCCTTCTAATTTTCTCCCTGCATAACCTCGCAACATCCTTTTAAGTCCTCTTGAGTTGCCTCCCCTTCCTCCAAATGTCAACTCTCTAACTCAAGTTCCAGCCAAAGCTCTCTTCAACCAGACCAATCTTCTCCACTGGCCCATCTCTCAGCACATGGGGATAGCCAGGTCCTGCACCTTTAGAATTTCCTTCTTAAAGCACATTCAGCCTTCCTGGACTCCTTTGTCCTTCAGGACTGCCTCCCAAAGGACCCTGTCAACCTGTCACCTAAATAGGCCAAAGTGAGCCCTCCAGAAGCTCAAGGAGGCAGTTCTCCTGATCCCCTTCCTCACTTCTCCAAGAATCCAACCCCCTAATTGCTATGTCCAAGGTAACCTCTGAGCACGTCACCCACCAGCCTTCTCTGCTCACAAACAGCATGTCCAGCAGGGCATCTCCCCTGGTTGGCTCTCTCACCAGCTCTGTCAGGAAGTTCTCCTCCACACACTGCAGGAACCTCCCAGACTGTTTCCTCTCTGCTGTATTGTATTCCCAGCAGACATCTGGGAAGCTGAAGTACCCCATGACAACAGTCATTGTGAGACCTCTCCCAGCTGCTTGGAGAGTATTTTGTCTGCCTCTTCATCCTGGTTGGGTGGTCTGTAAGAGACTCCCACCAGGATACCTGCCTAGTTGGCAACGCTATTTAGGACAAAGCACCATTTGCCTTTGAAACCCCACACAAACCAAGATTCACAGTTTATGGGGAGTCCCACTGAGCAAATAAAGAAAACAAGGCATGCAATATTCCAAGTCCATCCCTTAAAGCAGTACCAACTTTACATATCAATAAGTAAAATTTTTGGTTTTGCTAGATAAAACTTACTCTTATTCTAATAGGACCAAGGGGGAATAAAAGCAAACAACACTTGTATGAGGGCACTGGACTTCAACTTGTAGGTTGCAACATGCTGGATATTCTATGTGGCAAAGACTGTAAGAAGGTGCATAAAGACTTTTACTAGCTGAGGAACCTGAAGAAACGTTTAACATGAAAGACAGCATTACTGGTGCTTCTGTACACCAGAGCAGATATTGAACAAGAAAAGAAGTGTTACAAGGGCTTTTTACTATGCAAAGCAGATCACAAGTACAAAACTAACAACCAGCTATTCCCAGTATTGTTCAAAGACCAGCTTAAACCAGCAGGCTCTACAGCAGCATGCTCCATCCCCCTCACCTTATTTACAAAAGAAAGGCTGCTTGCTATACCAATTACCTCAGTAAAACACAGCTAAGGTTTCTGAAGAACTTACCATTGATTTCGAAAGGGAACAAGCTGCCACTTTTGTTCAGCTTCTCAGATGAGTACTGAAATCAGAGAAAAAAAGTTTTAAATGTGGAAAGAGTCAGCACTCACTTCAAGGAAACTGCATGCAGTTTTCAGTTTCCCTATATGTACACTTAATGCCTTTAAAAGAATGGGAGTTTGCAGTGTATCATCTTGAAGACACTCCCAAACAGCTGATTTTTATAAATAAAGCCTCTGGTATGTAATTATTTGTAACATTTTCTGATATATTGCTAAGTATCAAACTGTTTCAAGAGTTGCAACATTAGCTCATGTGAATAAACTGGAAAATTTAGAGTGATAATTCATCCTTAATGAAAAAGCTTTGATCCAATTCTCATTTCAGTGGAGAGGAAATTACAATCTGGCAGTTGGGTTTCCATTTTCAATCTTAAGGCTAGAAGGCAAAACACTTCATCTTCAACTAAGAGACAGGAATAGCTTTATCTAAATTAAATATACAATCTCTTGAGGTTCACCACCATGAATAGTGTTCCAATCAGGCTTTGTAAGTATTTTACATTTACTTATAATCAATGTAGCAAAGTGTTCTCTTATTTCTTCGAGGTAGAAAAGCCCTTGGGGGAAAAAAAAAAATCTGTCTTATCCTCACAAACATCTTTTTGCACAGTAAGACAAAGTAAGTTTGTGTGCAGAATGTTTTCCATTTTCTTCACTAATTCTACTTAGAAAATATTGCTACAAAGGCATTCTTAATGGTCTAGATTTCTCAGACAAAGCATAGAGCTTGCCAGCCAGCCTCCTATAAAGGAGCTATAAATAAATGGCTCATGGCTCCATCAGCCCAAGGGTCATTACTCACTCCCCCCCCACCACCTCAGGATGGAGAGGAAGATTGCTTTAAAAAAGAGCAACACACTTTATGTGAACATTGTTCTTTGTGTATAGCCAAAGAAGATAGCATTGTACATACACTTCCTTTCCAGATACAAAGTCAATTTTTAAACAAACATCCTTGGGCTACAAAGCTTTTTCTTTTTTTTTTTTTCTTTTTTTTTATTTTGCTGTACAGCAGCACACAGTGCTAGTGACAACTTTATATCCTTGAGCCCCACACAAGAGAAATGCTAAGCTGTGGTAATACTCCCTTGGTGTTATTGTTTTAGAGGTAGGAAATAACAGGGAACAGATGAAAGGACATGGCACCAACTGCATCTTTAATCTTATTTTTTATCAGCATCTGCACATGAGACAAGCCATTTCATTTTTACTCGACATTTGCATCTGTAGATGCATTTATAAAAGTTCCTTTTAAAGAAGCCACTTTAAATAATCAGCAGAACTCCAAGTTTGAACCTCCATTGGTTTTGCTGATAATTAGACCTATTCAAACCATTTGGAATTTGCAACCTGCCAGTTATATGGTATCCATATTTTGAAAAATCAGTATCAATCGTTTAATCAGCTACCAGGGCTTCACATGGAATGCAAGAGTAACAGCAGTAGTAGCATTTCAGTTGTCCCTAAAGGGGAAACAAATTAAGTTACTTAAAGATAAGGTTTTTCAGCAAATTCCTCCTCTACAACTTTCTCTAAATGGAAGGCAATACCAACCTATTCAACTATCAGATGGTAGCTAAGTAAAAGATGTTTGTGGGAGACAAAATTGTGTCAAAAATTTTTATAGCTAATTTATCTTGAACCACACAGAAAATGGTAGTAAGATGACTTAATGTTAACATAATAATTAGGGATGTTTAAGAGATTATTTATGTACACAGGGCAAGATATTCAATGCTCAGAAGGAACAGAACCTCAAGGATGATGCTGGGTGACAATTATTAGATTGATATTTAGTTTTTACAAATAGTTTCCAGCCAAATGCATCTTTAACAAGGTTCTCTTCACCAGTGCCCAAGCTGTTTGACTCCCTGCACTTTAACCACTTTAAAAAGTTCTTGTCCATCGGGTAAAGACTAGACTACTGTATCTTTGACAGCTGTGAAGCACTGAAAGCATTTTTCAAGGGGAAAAATGGGATGGAAAAAGTGGGATCACACACAGACTATCTGTACTCCAGAGAGCTGCAATGTTCTCCAACACAGACAGCAACCCCGCCCTTGGAGCTATTTCTGATCAGCTTTTACTGAAGTCAGTGCTCAGTTCTGTGACAGACCAGATGTATTTCCTCTGCAACTTGTCTCTTAAGTGATCACTTACACAGAATCCTGCTAAGTTATCAAAAAGCTCTTTGCTTTTTGACCAAAAACCTTAAGAACATCACATGTGACACCACAGGCTGAAAAACGAAAACAAGCTGCACCATTTCCAGTAAAAGCTCGAGGCACTGAAATAAGGGGTGAGTGACTAAGGGGACAATAAGTAACAAACCTGCTTTACAATATACACTTGGCTTTCTAAAACTGAAACTAAAATACTTGGAAACACTGTCTGCTGGTGCATTTTAATGATGCCTGGAAGTCCAAACTTGAGTAGACTATCAGGCTGTAAAATTCTTTATGGGAGGGAGGATTTTTTTATCTATACAGCACATGGCACAAGTCCCACTAGATATTACTGTAACAGGGCACTGAACCAGTTTATCAGCTCTCCTGGGCTGGCCATGCTCTACCCTCCCCCATTCATTCCCTCTGTGCTATGATCTACCTGAAACTTCCTCAATGAAGTGCTTTTTTTTATGACTATGATTGAAAAGAGATTGCAATTGCTGAGAACCTTGACAGGGAAGTCTGCTGCCCTCTTTGTGAAGGAAATCTTCCTTTAGAATAAGGCCAAATTATTCAACAAGGTCACTTTCCTGAAGAGGAAGTACATCCATCTTCCAACTACTGCTTTTCGAATAGATATTAAAACACCCACCAAGATCTCCTGCCTCCTGAGAATTTTCTAGGGCAAAAAAAGGCAGATTTTAAGGCAGACACACAAAACAATAAAACCTGAATTTTCGCCTGAGATTGGAATGGTTTGCTTCATGCTAAAGAGTGCATCTATATTGAAATGCTTGTTCACAGATAGAACCTTTTTTGTGCATCTGGAGAGACTACACTCAAAAGGAAAGGAAATGTGTGGTACAACATTCAGGACAGTACTGCAAGCTTCAGTTGGTTTACTGAGTCTCAGCAGCTGTTCTTTCGTTAAAACATTCACTTCAAAAGACACCTAGTCTGAACTGAGTAAGTGGTAGAGAGCCATGCAAGTGAGGCTGACAACGAATTATAATTTCCATCACTAATTTAAAGAGTGTTCTTTGCTCGCGGAAACCAACTGCAACAGAAATAATTCTGGCTATTCTTCTACACTCTAATCTACTACCTTAACAACTTCACAGCCTGTGCTATCCTCCTCATTATTCTCAGAATGAGGACTTCATAATTTTAAAATTAGTGGCTTCAATTTCAAGACCTTTTTTTCCAGTTTACAAGTGTATCTGAGTTATTCCAATTTATCAGCACTCTTTCCAAACCACAGGGAAGTCAGTGCTCATCACTCAAGTACTAATTTCACCACCACCACAAAGAAGGGACTTGGTTTAAATAGGCCATGCCAGACCTCCATCTCTCTACCAAATATCCTTCAAAGACAACTACCTAGGGAAGAGTGAGGAGGAATGTTTGACCCTTTCTCAGGATGTTAAGTCTTTGGGCCAGTGGCTTTCAGCCCAATTCTGAGTCACAAGATTCAAAATAATGAAAACCCACATGCACTGAAGGGTTTTACGGTAGAACTTCTTCCTTTCACAAATGCTTGTCTGGAGATCTTCACATTTCCTTCTTAATACCACACCCTGAAGTGTTACAGCTCACATGCTGTTACTTCACAGACCAACTCAAATACCAAAAGGTACAAGTTTAGTCAGAATGTACAGAAAAATCCTCAAGACTCTTGATTTAAGAGATCTGCGTTCAGGGGAATAGAAGCCAACTATGTGCTGTCAACCCACGAAAGCCACCATGTGCCTGCAGAACTTCTCACTGTTGCAAGGTAGAGTTGAGCAACCAGGGACACGACTTCACCTTGTGAGCTACAGTACAAACTTGAGGTAAAAGCCTGGGACAGCCTTCCTGCTTCTACAGCAGGACACTCAAATCATTCGGGGTTCTTTCTGAAGGCAGGTGCAGGACAAGGCTATACATCATAACTGAGCATGCACTAGCCAAATTACATGAGTTATACCACCTTGGGAAATTAGCATGTCATTTAACAGGGCAGTAAAAAGGTACAGCCAGTATTTTACAACATAAAAGAAAGGTACTCGGTCATCATAGAGCTTACACAAATAAAAAAAGTGCACTATGGCCTATACATGTTGTCTTTATGCCCAGCTTGGATGGATAGCAAATAGCTTTGAAAGCACTATTCTTCTTTTTTTCCTTTTATAACCCTCATTCATAAGCTGTATTACAGAATAGCTTTTCTCCAGCTATTTTATCTCCTTCTGCCAAGAAGGCAACTTGTGCAGATGCACTGCAAAAGGTACCAGGAAACTGATAAGGGTTAACAACATTAACCCAGGCAAGAGAAGTTAGTCTTAATCCTTGACCAGCTCACAATGTTTGTTCACCACACGGTGCCACAAAACTTTGTGCCAGCACAAGGAACAGAAGGTGCAGCAAGATCATTTCAGAATTGTTCTAAACTGCTGCTGCTGTTAGCAGAAACTACATCATTAACCCGAACTTCTTGCCAAAAAGACTAAAGGTGCTAGCACTGATACTAGACCCCCAACTAGCAGTGTTTTTCTCTTATTAAAATGTAGCAATCATCTTTACCAGTGATACTTTTTATCCTCTTAAGTTTGCATTTAGTCAGGAATCTGTTTTAGTCGGGAGCAACCTAGTTGCACACTTTAATTCTCAGTTGCTTCCCTATTCCCACACCTCACTCCGCAATTTCCACACTTTTTCAGGGTGCCATTGTGTACAAACAGAACCTGTCTCTGGCCCCAGAACCCATTTTCTCTAAGAACTAAAGCACTTACAAAACCAATTACTTGACAGATAAAAGGAGGAGAGGAGCAGGAGAAGGGTGAGGAGGAAACAACTGATGAGACATCATGTGCCATTTTCCGCTCCACTTGTTCTTTTTCATGCTTTATTGTAAGTACAGATAAGGACAGGAATAAACCACAACCAACCCACAACACATTAGAGAACATACTTCTGGTACAGACTCCACACAGTGCAAAAGCACTAATACATCCTCCTCTACTCTTAGGGGTCTCTGGTCCAAAACCTACAGTGACTATCAGTAAAAAGACAGTTCAGTTTCCAAATTTATGCAAACTTTAGGACCTCAAAAAAATTAGAAATTACAAGATGCCACTACATGTTTAGTTACAAACACTGCTACTGGTTACAGGTCCTCATTGGCTCCCACTTAAGCCCAGACTTTAATTACAAATGATGACTTTGCCAGTTCACAGATACAGCAGATCCTCCTACAAACCCCAAGTGCTTCATCAAACTAGACAAAATAAATGCCAGTTGAGTGAGTAAGCACTTCTGAGAGCTTAAAGGTCTCCTTCCAAGACCTTAAATCTGCCTTTCAAGAATAGCATGTATTTAAGATGAAGAAAAAAGTAAAAGCAATTTCTGGAGGAACTCTAAATGGACCTGCTACAGTTTTGAAAATAAAACCACTGACTTGACTGATGTCTCCTATTAGATATCCTTACTGGACAAAGTATTGGACACATGAGAATGGCAGGTGCTCGTGCACAAACTCCACCTCATTCAAGATATGCTTCACCTGCTCCGTGCTCATGAAATAAGGAAGCAGTTCACTTGTTTAAATACAAGTTACAACAGAGGCAGAATCTTACTGTAAAAGTGACATGCTTCAGGTCTGATGTCCGCTTCTTATTTTTAAAAATAATGGAACTAGAGTTGAACAATACTTTGACTTTTAGTCAAATTAATCTGTGTCCTGTTGGAACCTTCAAGTCTGACCTACAGAAGGGTGTCACTGCAATTACAGTCAGTAAAACAAAGCTATCCTGCATTACGTATACAATATGGTCTCAGGGTTCTCAGGCAGGCATCTAAAATTGGTGAGAGACTGTTCTGCATTGCACTCTCAGGAGTAGACAGTATTTCATTAACAAGGGAATAGATTTCTTAGTGTCTGAATAACATGCTTGAACCACATCATGGGTCCAGAGATTAAACTGCAGAAAAAACCCAATATAAATATTGCAGAATTTTTCAGAGCACCAGGCATCTGAGACACTGATAAAGCAATGACCTGCTCTACTAGCATCAAGCAACAGTCTGACAGTAGCCTGACTTTTAATTGAACTGTTTTTATTTGATGACCTGTTCTCCTTTTTCCCCAGTGTTTGATAGCTAACTGTGTGGCAGTCCAGGATTTTTGCGAGCAAATACTGTTATCAGACACAACATTGATTTCGTGAAGGCAACTTCAACCTACACAAATACTTGTGTTTTTTGTTAGTAAAAAAGAAATCCGAAGATTTGTTAATTCTTTTCAATCATTAGAACACCATGAAGACAACCATCTAAATTGAAGCAATAAGGTTAAAAAGATCATTAAAACAAGAAAGCATCACTTCAAGAAGGGACCATACAGTTAAGTTTGACTTCTACCCCCTCTTACAACTCTGACCCGGCTTCGCAAACCAGCCCTAACTTAAATAGCTGAATTCTGGCTGATCTACATTCTTGAATTCATTTTGTAGTTCTGAGTGACATGTGTTTTTTTTGGCAGATCCTTACCAGATTAATATTGTACGTTTTACAGGTCAGATCATCCAAGCTCTGGTTCTGCAGCTTTTCAGTTATTAGTGTTACCATGGTAGTTGTTCCTTTTCCACTGCTCACTCAGAAGTGTTGGAGGCTCTTCGGTCTCTTCTTTCAATACTCATGAGCCATTTCTGTTTCGGTCTGAAGTCTTGAGATTTATGCTTCCATCTTACTGCCAAAGTTTATTTCCAAACGCTGTCAGTGTATCATCTCTGATTTCCTGTAAAATTGGAGTAGAAAAAGGAAAAAGTCAGAAAAATTCTTATTCACGTTGTAGTTAACATTGCAATAACACAACTCCCATTTGGACTATTCCTTCATGTAAATATATCCCTCTGTGACCAGTGCCAACACCTGGCAATTCCGATTACATGTCTCCACTCACGAAAGTACACTCCTAATGAGGCTTCAATGAATACAGCTTCAGAAAAGAGATGAGACTCATACACAGTAAAGATGAGGGTCTTATTTGGCTGTTTCCCACTACTAAACTGATTCTACCTAGATTTTGATCCAAGGCAGAAGGAAAGACTTAAGCTTTTCCTCATTTAAACTACTGAAGTCTTAGCCAGGTATTCTGGGACAGCATATGAAACACCCAGATATCCACCACACTGTTCTGCATGTTTAACACTATTTACCATTTCAAGACATTCTACCGCATTGTTTCATCACTAATCCCTCCTTAAAAAGGAAAGTGGAGCAGGGGGTAGCTCCAACACTATAACCACTTTCCAAACCCTCAGCTACTTTTAATACATTCCTCCCTGTTTTTCCTTTTTTTTTTTTTTTTTTTTTAAGGTTACATAATTGTTACCTGTCAGCAAACACCAGATCTTACACTGATAAGCAGGACAGATTCCCATGCACTAAAAAGCATCACAGACAACAACTTAGATATCTTTATTCTGTGAGCAGTCATCTAAATCAAAAGCACTCAGTTCACCAGCTGCCTCTTTTTATCCTAAACATCCCCCACATAATTTCCTCCCCTCTCTCTAGTGTACTGCACTAACCATTCTTGCTTATGATTTAATTTGGTCAAGCGTATTCAGTGACCACTTATGGAATAAAAAGAGGGAAGAGATCCACACAGAGGTATTTCCAAATTTAAACAAAGCAACATGAGGCTTGGGGAAGGAACACTGATGCTGCTAGGACCCTAAGTTTTACTTCCATTTGCTAGTCTTTAATGTTTACAGTAAAAATAGAATAGCAGAAAATAATAATTTTCAATTAATGTTTCTATAAAATATTGCCTCTCCCACACTGCTACTCACCAGCTATTTAAATAACCAGTAGTAGCAAGGAAAAAAGCCACTTGAGGCCATGAGCCAAGTTAAACCCCTTTAAAACTAAGATATGAATAGTATTAATGGTGATGTTAGATTATCTTTTAAACCTGTTGCCTCTGAGTACATCCTCAAATATGATTTTCATATGCTAACCATACACTATTTCACCTTCACAGGAGTCTGCCACATACTGGCCCCTCCTTGGCCCAAAAGCTGTCCCACAAACACAACTTCTGCCCATCTTTTGGTCTCATTCTGGTATCTACTTTTTTTGTGTGTGCTATAAGATAGGATGCTTAGAAGTGCTTTTGCACCACAAATAATGCCACCCAGAGAGCTGGAACTTCAGCTGGTCTGTTTTTACTGGATGTGCCCTGTCTTTCAGGGAAGCACACAACTTGAAATATTTACCACATCTTCTGAAATTACATCGAGTCAAACATTAAAAAACATCAAAGTCACATATACATATACACTGTTCCATATGAGCATCTGTCAAAGCCAAGTGTGGTTCATGAAGTGCTGAGCAAGTTTAAAGGCAAGCATGTGAACACAGCAGTATTTAGAGTAGCACAATCTAACAATGCTGTGTTCCTTTTAAACCCAGTGAAGCTTAAACTAGATCTAGAAACCCAGAGTAGAAGTCAAAAGAAAGGCTGACTGGGGGTCAGAAACTGTCCCTATACAGACTGAAAACATACTGAAGTTGAAGAGCTTAGTAACTGGTGCAAAGACTTTCAGATCCATGTTAAGGATGAGTATTTCCACAAGTAAGAGGCTACTAATAAGAACAAGATCAGCAGAATGTTTAATTACTTCTGTTTGGAAGGGTCATAAAAGAATTGGTGTGAAAGTTTTTTTTCCTCAAGGAAAAACGTAAATTAAATAAAACTACCAAAGATGGGAGAAAAAAAAGTTTTGATCTGTAATTATTTAACTATAGTGTTATGTTAATATTTTACTTTGTACTTCTAATCTTCAAATATTTCACTGAAATTTTAAGTCAGCTTAATGCAAGCTAAAATAAGGAGAGACTAGACAGAATGATATTAGATTTTAGTTAAGGAACCAACTGAATGAAAGGATAAAGGGAAAGCAAATGAGATCACTGAAGCACGGCACTTTCAGAATCATGCTGAATTGTACAGTTACCCACATTTGTAAATCCTACCACCTACTGAAAGTTAATACTTGGGAGTTGCAGCCACTCAGGCCCTTTCTCACATCATGAAACCAAATCAGTTCTGAAACACAATCAATGTGGAAATTCCCCCCAAAAAAGTTTCATTTTAGCAGCTCACACTTACCAGCAATACTTTTTCAAATGGAGACATGCTCCACTGAAAAAGACATTTTTTTAAGTATGGGACAGGGGTGAAAAGGTGCTGTCAGCCAGACAACCCTTCATCTACCTGCTCCCACTTTCTACCGCTCCCCTTGTGAGTAAATTCCATTTCTCAGTATGAAGCACAACCCTAAGAGTGAGCAGGGGTTTTAGTTCAGATCAGAAGTAGGCTTTGCAAGTGAATTCCCTCCTCATCTTCCTAAATGTGCTTGTTCAGTACATCAGTTTTAACTGTTTTACACCACAAATCTGTTCCTACCGGGCAGCCCACATTAATGATGACACAATGAATGTTTAAGGGGACAAAATGTCACCAACAAGCTCCTACCAACGAAAGCCATTCTAGGCTGCAGTTTGATACACCTCAGCTGCCATCACAACTGCCAACACATTTTCTTCCCTGGCTATTTGTGGCCCGCAGCAGTGTGCCAGCACAAGTGTTTCTGCTCATCACAGAGAACTAGATCAAGGAATTTTTATAGCTGGATAAAACCAAAGCACTTCCTTTTGTTTCTGGGAATGGTTGCTTTCCAGCTGGATCGGTTCCCCAGTCTGGTTTGCCATGTACTGGACACAAATGCTTGTGTGGGCACATTGTGGGACGCTGACACTGCTTGTCCCAGTACCTGTCCAACTACAGCATCAGAAAAAAAAAAAAAAAAAAAAGGAAAGAAGTCACACAAGAAAGCCAGTTGAGATCAGCATTTCCTACACTGAGCCAGGCAGATTCTCCTATAATTAGGAATTAGACATCTCCTCCTGAAGCGTGGTTTCAACATGTTTTGCTCCCATTTTCCACTTACAATTCATATTGCTTTGACTAGTCAAACTTAACAGCTCAAAGCGATCCAAAAATCACCCCTGCAGCCTCAGCACCCCAACTCAGTGATCAACATCCTAGTTCACTTTAGTTGAAATATTTGTACTCCATCAGGAATTGCTTCCCTCATCTTTGCTAATATTGGTTGCCAGGAGACCAGAGATGCTTACGAGTCCTTAAGCATTCTTAGCTTCACTGAGCTGTTATTTTAAAACTTTATTAATATTTAATATTTTCAAGCATTTCGTCCCTTATTACCTCCTAGAAGGAAGCTTCTCATTGTATCTTCATCTTTTTGAGGGGGTTTTGTTTATTTCAAGACCCTCTGCTGTGCTATGTATTTAAGGTACACAGAGAGAGAGAGAGAGTGCGCAAATTGTTTACTTTATGTACTTTTTCCACCATACCGTTTTTCCAGAGCTGATTGAAGGCAGTGAACTTTGTTTCTCAGCCTCTCCTTATCACGCACTTTATGCTTATCAGGCTGAATCTGCTCAAACTGCTCGGCACTTCAAACTAATTGGATTTTCAGTAATATGAACCATTTGGCCATCCTTGCTGGGGCAACACGGATCTGCTGAATTACCGTTTGTTTCAGCTGCCTCATGGCACAGACCTTGGCACAATCCAGCTCTGCCCTGCTCTCCCTGCAACCTGTAGGCACACACCTCTGTGCCACCAAGTCTCTACAGGCAGCAGTGGAGCCAGGCAGGCAAGTTCAAACACTGATATCCTCCAAGCCTTGAGGTAGCAACAATAGCCCTTGGAGCTCCAAGTTGGATGAAGTCCTACAAGATTATGGCCACCTTTCCCTTAGCACACCATCCTTTATGCAGTCTGATTAGGTAGAATAGTTAGAAAGCTGAGACCTCCAAGATAAACACACACAACAAAAGATGTTAGTCAGTCTCTGTCCTGGGAGAGACTTAATCTTCCTAGGATCTCCTTAAGCTGGGGGGCAGAGGTGAGGTGGGGGGAAGAAGCTGTTTTAATTGTTGAAAGGTAGACTAATGAAAAGGAATAAATGGAATACAAAAATCAAACTCCAAATGCAAGCCAAAGCTAACATTCCTCACAGTTGGAGAATGAGTTGTGATGGAATCAGTATCACCATTGTCTCTGATTTAGAAGTTCTGTTTTATTCATTCTGAGGGCTGAGAAAAGTAAAGATTCATTATTCTATCTCTATAGTACTACTAAAGAAGAGAGGTTTTATTTCTTTAAAAGTTTAGCCACAAGTAGTAATGACTTGTAAAATCTCTGCTAAAATTAACAGAGGAGATAGAAAAGAAGTGCTCATGTCACGAATTCTGTATCTTCTCAGTGACATCACTGGTGTCTTTTTTTGGGAAAACTACTAAAAATACAGATTACCCAACCTCCCAGTCAATTAAAGGATGTCAGAGGCTCATTCAATTTGACAACCTACTTTCAAAGAGATGAAGAGTCCTGATGAAGAACACAAAAGCCAATACAAAAATCTCTTCTTGGCTCTAAGAAAGTAAGGCAGCCAGACTCATTTCCAACCCACTCCTCCTCCTCCTTGCATCCTGCAGGACAAAATGTTCCAGCAACAGCTCATCCCGATGGGAAAATTTACATTAGTTTGAAACACTTCAAACAATTTCTTCTCTGTTTCTGGAAGTTCCATCTTGGATAAAGAAGAGGAGATCACAAGATTTTTAGATGATTTCTCCGTAACACAAAATGTAGGTGTTTCTTGATGATCACAACCCCATCTTTTTCTGCCTGTGGTACTA